GCCACCCGGACCAGCCCAAGGTTAGGAGCCAAGCTCACTGTTCCTCCACACACAGGGGGAAGGCTGCCAAGGCAGAGCCTTGCTGCGGTGCTGAAGCACCCACAGTTATTGCACCTTTGGCTTAGTCTTTTAATTGGAACTTTCCCACGTTGCCCATGAGGTGACAGGAGCGATTCCGGGTGACCGGGTTACAGCCTGATGGGGCTCTCAGGACAGCCCCTGTCCTTGATGGTGCTTAGGACAAGCAAAGCCCAGGCATCTGGCGTAGCTGCAGTTTAATCCCTTAGACCTGGCAAGGTACATAGAGCTTCCTCACCCCTGAGACAGAAATGGAGCTTGTGATCGTTCTCTGTTGGCATATACTGTACGGTCACGTCACGTCTAGGGTATGGGAAAATGGCCTGTTTGCCTCTTTCTCTGCACTGCCTTGTGTCCCTTAAATGCCATGTAATTTCCCTCTGGTTATGTGAGTGTATATATATGCGTATCTGTGTATATATGTGTGTCCATATCTGTAGACACACATATGTATGTTTGTTTATGTGGATAAGTCTATTTCTGTGTGTGTATGTATGCGTGTATACATGTGTACATGTATATACACACATATATGTGTACGCTTTTTCATAGAAACTCATGAGAACATTTATGAAGAGTGGGTGAAGCCCCTGGAATGCCTGCTGAAGGGAACTGCGACAATTTTGTTCAGGTCTCAAAAGCTACAATGAAATCGATCACTGACTTGATTGTTTCTCCAAAACTGATCGCAAACCAATTTTTCGGAGTACGAAAATCGTAAAGAGTAGTTGTGATTTTGTTTTGATCAAACCAGTGTTGTTGGACTGGATCTCATTTCTGTTTTAATAAGGCAGAGCAATATCTAGTCTTGGATGAAAAAGAGGAATTCAGACTGTTCTCAGCAAAACTTATTTTGATATTAATATTCCAGCACTGAGGTTTTTTCATCTTCAAATTAAAGAAAGAGTAGTCTTACAGGTAAGGAGCTGAACATAAGACACAGTTTCTGTGCTCTGCAGCCTGCTTTCTGTTTGACCTTTGACCAGTCACTTAACTTCCCTGTGATTTAATTTTCTACCTTTAAAAAGGGATATGATGTTGACCTTTACCCGTCCCTCGCGTTTCTCGTTTAATTTGCTGACTGTCCAGGGAGGAGCTGCCCCTTGGCGTTACATGCGTTAGAGTCCCGCGGGGATGTTTGTCCCATACCATTAGTGATGGTAATAATACAAAGAATAATGGTAAAAAAAAAAGTCTGCTGATATTGTTTAAAACATTTGCACATTTACTACAGTCATTTCTTCTTTTAGTCTTTAGTTTCTTCACTACTCCTCTGGGAATATTTGGACAGGACAGAGACTAGGTCAATTTATTGGTAAGGAGCACAAATGAAAACTTATTGTAAGGGAGAAATATCATTTACCAAATTGTTGTTGTCCTTTCAAGAGTGTTAATTGGATGTAGGGAGCTGGGAAACTGGAAGTTCAGGAGCCAGATGCTCCTTCTGCTGTCAACACATTATTTTTTTTTTTAAACAGGAAACGAAATAAGAAGTTCTTTCTTTCCGGCACTTAGTGTGAGAGTAAACAGATTTGGTTCCTCACAGTAGCATGGGCACAGCGTAGTTAGCTCTTTATCAAGCAAAACTCATTTCAAGTGTAACTGAATTCTAATTTGAATGAAGTCAGCCAATTCCCCCATCATGTGAGCAACTGGAATTTTGCTGTAGCAGTCACACCGCATCTCCCATTCCAGCTCCTCGGTGAACGTAACACAGCTAGCAAACAACCCTAGCACATCTGAACAAAATGTCCTCAGTGATGTTCTCCATTACAAAAGTGGATCAAGTGGATGATTCAAAAGTTGGTGCTGGTCTTTTCTCTCTTCATGTCTTGCATTCCAGGTCATGTTAGATATAAACACAAAGGCACAAGAGGAAGTAAAAGCACATGAACAAGAACAACTGGACACGGAATTGGAAGGGGGGGTCACTGCTGAACTCCACTTGTAACTTCAGGTGACTTGATAGCCCCTTATAGGAAAACTCACTCTCAGTCTGTGAAGCCATTTATGCAGTTGTTACTGCTTCCACCAGAATACTGTGGTACTCTCCTAAGAATGCACTTTCAGTATATTTACACAAGTAAAATACGAGATGCACTGTGTTTCACTGGTCTACAAGAGGTGTTATCCTACCAGAGTATTTCAGTGAGTCAGTGGATGCTAAGTTCAGTAAGTGGTCAGGATGGCCCAAATCCAGGAAAGATACACTGCATTTGAAGTCACAGCTAATCTCCAGAACTTTGATTCCTCTGAATTCCATTTTCCACATAAAATTTTCTGCATAATTGTGGTTGCGTAATGAGCCTGTAACTGCCCAGGTCACTCTTGATACCTTATGATTTAAGCAGAAGTTCAGTCCACAATTATAGAGAAATATTTTGTCATCTAGGACCCACGTAGCACTGCATACCACTCCAAATACCTCCTTTTCCTCCTTCACTCTCCTCAAGAGTCTTCCAGCCACAGGAACAGTGTATTTTTAATCTTTAATCTCTTCGACGCTTCTTTTCAGTGGCATCAATGAGCAGTGGGAATCAGGCATACCCGCTCCTCTTTGGAATTCTGAAAAGGGCACATAGGTGCAGGTGGAATTTTCAGCCTGTCCTTGTGACAGCCCTATTCTACTTGCACAATACCTGCCGTGATTTGGGAGATGGTTAGGTACCTTGGCTACTAGGTGATGGTTCTGAAGTTGTTTCTTGCAGATGTCTGAAGTGCAGGTTGTCAGTGTAGGGCCAGCTGTGGGCATACTGAGGTTCTCAGAGTTTGTTTGCCCTTCAGATATGGAAATTCTTCTGTTCACATTCCCGTTCTCCTTTTCTTCCTTAGACGGGCAAGTTCAACAGCATCTTTCTTAGCAGAAACTTTCCCTTTCAGCATATTTTAATGTTAGTATACAATGCTATTCTTCCACCTTTATTTCTGTCTTTCTCAGTTTGTATTCTTCAACACCAGTGTTTCAGCAAGTTTCTGAAATCAGTCTAACATTTGACTTGATGTCTTCTGCTGATATTTCTAATATGTCCATTTTTTTCACAGGAACAATAACACCTCCTTTTTAAATTTTAGCATTTTTCATCTGATTTCTCAACACAATAAAAATTACATGCTGTCCTCGCTATAGTCTCAAGGCAACCACTTAAAGTATCTCATTGCTACGGAAAAAGTCTAGGCTCTTTCTCCTGTCCTGTTCTCTGTCAGTTCCAATTCACACAGAAGACCTTCTCACCAGAGTTTGGTGGTGTATTCGAGTCAGGGTAGGTGGCATGTCTGGGGATATATGCTAACATCCATGTTTTGTTGTCACTTGTAACCTGTACATTGCATAGTTAGGGCACCAGTCTAAGCTATTGGAGAGTTCATTGTCTGCCATTCCTTCTGATGTGTCAACAGATGCACTCAAATACTCACCCAGGATGTGTTTACATTCCCATTTTAATTCGTCACGAATGCCCTCACGGAGCAAACCTCGGAATAGCCCCCACTTACTGCACTTCTGACACGTTTGATAGGGTGTGCTCTCAGAGTGCATCATCTGGGTTCTGTTCAAGTGAAACTAAGCTGGAAGGCACCCTGAAATGTGAAGTGGGTGCTAGCTCTTCTGCACTGCCAGTTTCCACAGATCTGCTCCTGATGCACCTACGTTATCTCCTAATGTATTCGTAGTCACAGTTTGTTGCGGAGAACTAGAGGAAACTTGAGACGTTGTGAGATTTGCTGCTAAAATAGTGTATTATGCCAAAGATTGCAATGAGCTAAGCAGGATGAGACACTTCATCTCTCTCCTTTCCATTCAGAAGGAAATTTTAAGCAGATGGGAAAGATAGAGGTATCTTAACTTTTTAAAGATGTTTGAAATGGCTGAGAGGTGTGGAAACTGTAAGGGGAGAGTTGGTGCACAAAAGATAGGTAGTCTGGTAAAGAACACGTGTTTATCTCTGAATCTACAACTCGTTACAGAAGTGTTTGCCGAAGAGAGATCAGAGATTTGCCATGAGTTTTCTTGAAAGTCAGGGCAGTGGAGACTCTGAGGGGGACCAGCATTTCTTATGCTGACAATGAGCTATGGGAAATTTAAGCAAAAGAACTTTACTGACTTTCACAGAAGTGACACTTCTTAGCTGAACGTCATTGTCTCTTCTTGCCTTAGAATGTCTGCAGGGTTAACACAGAGCAGCTTTAATTCTTGATTATCATTTATATATAGTGTTAAACCATCAGCTGACTTTTGCTTACCTAGACTCTGTTGTTTACTTGGCCCTGTTCAAGTTCTGCTTGTCCAAGGAAATGATATTATTCGCATATCCACATTGTCAGATGCCTCATGCTGGAGGTTTAGGAACTGACCAGAGGGAGCGTGTGTACTGTGCGCGCCAGTGCTTGTGTGGAAGTATGTGCCATTTCAGACAACTTAAAAGCATGTGGGAGCCACCATCCTTCAAATGCAAGTTTGGCAAGCAGAGCAGTGGTGTAGTGTATGCTCTGAAGCTGGGAAGCCAGAAAGGTAGAAACCTGGAAAAGACAACTTTGTATGAT